CCCCAACGGGCTGCCCCCCCCCCCCGGCCCCCCGCCCCAGCACTACCGCCTGGAGGACATGGCCATGGCGCACCACTATCGCGACACCTACCGCCACGCCGACCCCCGCGAGCGCCCACGGCCCGGTGAGCTCAGCTCCCTGCTTTGGGTGGATGTGTGGGGCTGGGAGGGATGCGGAGCTGACTCCCCCCCCCCAACCTCATGCTTGGTTTGCAGCTGTGCACGGGGCGCGCCAGGAGGAGGTGATCGACCACCGGCTCACCGACAGGGAGTGGGCAGAGGAGTGGAAGCACCTCAACAACGTACGTAGAGCCCCCTGCCCACCCCTAGCTCCCACTGTGTCCCCCCTATGGCCTTTTTCCCCGAGCGTCTTTTGCTCCCATGGCCCAAATCCCACCCCTGTACCCAGCATTGCGGCCTCCCATCCCCGCTGTTCCCCCCTGCAGCTGCTAAACTGCATCATGGACATGGTGGAGAAGACGCGGCGGTCGCTGACGGTGCTGCGGCGGTGCCAGGAGGCCGACCGTGAGGAGCTCAACCACTGGATCCGCCGCTACAGCGACGCCGAGGACATGAAGAAAGGCAGCCCCCCCTCCGCCCGGCCCCACAACAGCTCCTCCAGCTCCGAGGCACCCCAGTTAGGTATTGGCCTGGGGGGCTGCACCCTCTCCGGGATGCTCGTGCCGTTCCCCCAGCACCGGGTTGGGACGGAGGGGGTGGCTGCTGCTAACGTGTCCCCTCCTGACGTTGCTCCTTTGTAGATGCGCACCGGGATTTTGCACCACGGCCGCTCTCAGGGTACATGCCTGAGGAGATCTGGAGGAAGGCTGGTGAGTGTGGTCCCTCTGCATCCCCTCCTCATACCCACGGGGCTGGAGGGAGCCGGGAGCCCCCGAGGTGCCCACCCACCCTGCCACGCTGCCCACCTCCCTTCCAGAAGAAGCCGTGAATGAGGTGAAGCGGCAGGCCATGTCCGAGCTGCAGAAAGCTGTGTCGGATGCTGAGCGCAAAGCCCACGAGCTGATCACCACTGAGCGCGCCAAGATGGAGCGGGCACTGGCTGAGGCCAAGCGGCAGGCATCCGAGGATGCCCTCACAGTCATCAACCAGCAGGAGGACTCCAGTGAGGTGGGATGCGATGTGGGACCCACATCTGTGCGTGCCAGTGGCACCCCGGGGTGGTGGCAGCAGTGCTGTCAGGATGGGAAGAAAAGGGGATTTGGGGAGGAGAAGGGGGCACGATGTGAGGTTGGGGCGTGTGATCCTATGTGACGGTGTGCAGTGCAGGATGGGGGTGCGAAGCTGGGGATGGGGTGCAGAATCCAGGATAGGATGTGTGGTTTGGGATGGAGTGAATGGTCCAGAATGGAGGCATGATACAGAGTGGGGGTGCACAGGAATGGAGTGGGAGCCCAGGAATGATGCATGGTCCAGAATCAGGGAGCGCAGTTGGATGGCGTGTGTGGCCCAGGATAGGGTGCTCAGTCCGAGGTGAGGATGCATGGTCAAGAGTGGGGGTGCCTGGTCCAGGGTGGGGTGTATGGTCTGGGATGAGAGCCTGCAGTCTGGTGGAGCATTCATAGTCCAGAGAGCAATGTATGGTTTGGGATGTGGTGCTTGATGCAGGGAACAGACTGCAGGATGGATAGAATGCATGGGCTGAGATAGGGTGCGTGGTCCAAGGCCATGGGAATACAGTCAAGGATGGGGTATGTGGTCCAGGATGGAGTGTGCAGTCTGAGGTGAGGTTGCACAGTCCAGAACGGGGGTGCACGCTCTGGGATGGGGTGTGTGGTCCAGGAATAGGGTTCATGGTCCAGGATGAGGTGTGTGGCGTAGGAGCAACAGTTCACACACTATAAGGGTGGATGTTGTGGTTGTCATTTGTGCAGACATCAGCTCTTCCACAAAACATTCACAGCAAGTGAGCATAAGACAAGGATATTACAAATGATGAGTTTGAGCACATGTACCAGACCATAAGGGAGACCTTATTGCTCTCTTCCAATATCTGAAAGGTGCTTACAGCGAGAGTGGGGTTGGTCTCTTCTCACTGGTGACAGGTGACAGGCTGAGGGGAAGTGGCCTTCAGTTGCGCCAGGGTAAGTTTAGGTTGAGTCACCATCCCTGAATGTGTTTAAAAACCACTTGGATGTGGTGCTCAGGGACATGATTTAACGGAGGGTTGTTAGGGCAGTTTGGTTACGTTGTGGTTGGACTCGATGATCTTTAAGGTCTTTTCCAACCTGAGTGATTCTGTGATTCTGTGATTCTGTGACTTGGTGCACAGTTCGGAAGGAGGTTGCACGAATTGGGGTGTGGGGCACGGCCCAGAACGCAGATGCGCAGTTCATGGATCCATGGATTCATGGTGCAGGAGTGCAGGGCACGGTGCAGGAGCAGGGAGCACAGCCTGGGATGGGATGGGGCTGGGCTGGGTCGGCCTCCCCCCATCCCCCAGCACTGAGTTGTGCCCCCGTTGTCCCCTCAGAGCTGCTGGAACTGCGGGCGCAAAGCGAGCGAAACCTGCAGCGGCTGCAACACCGCCCGCTACTGCGGCTCCTTCTGCCAGCACAAGGATTGGGAGAAGCACCACCACGTCTGCGGGCAGACACTGCAAGGGCTGCCGGCCCCCTCCGTCCCCACAGGCGTGGGGCAGCCCGAGGCGGTGCCCCCCATGGCCAGCAGCCCCAGCGATGCCGGCTCAGCAGGCGCATCTCGTGCCGGCACGCCGGGGACCCCGGCGCCACTGGAGAGCGCATCGCGCTGAGCGCGGACTGACGCCCATGGCAGCTCTCTGCTCCCACACTGGGTGACCTCCGAACCGACCTCGAGCTCTCAGATAATCCTCACGGATCCTCAAACTGGGCTTTACGTGGAGTTAAGGCAACTACCCATCGTTCTCTGTTCTCTCTTCGGTCTTTGTTTTTTGGCCTTTTTTTTGGTTGCTTTTTTTTTTTTTTCCCCGTCCTTTGGGCTGTTCCTTGCTACCCGGTGGCTTTTGGCATTTTTTTCTATCCATTTTTCTTTTTTTTTTTCCCTCGTTTCTGGATGAGGAGCTCACTCACAGGAAGAGGAAGAAGATTTGTTTCTTCATCTTCATCTCTTTTTTTTTTTTTCTTTTTTGTAAAAAAAAATAAAGAAAATAAAAACAAACACGTCGGACTCTTTGGCTTTAAGTAAGAAATTGTAAAAAAAAATAAAAAAATAAAAATAAAAAAAAAGGAAAATCCCAAAAAGCAGACACCGCCGAGCCCAATGGAAGCTCACCTGTAACTACCTTGCTAGCTAGCCAAGAACAGACCAGACCCACCTCTGCTCCAAAGGAAATCCAAAAACCAGACAGATCCAAACGTCTCTCCACTGCCAAAGTTCGTTTCGTTCCATTGCTGCCCGCTCCGACGCTGCCCCGTCCTCACAGCTCCGCTCACGGAAGGACAGACGGATGCACCGCGGGTTGGAAGAGTTTCTATTACCATAAAGCAAAAAAAAAAAAGAATTTTTTTTTTTTTTTAAAAAAAAACGAAACAAAAAAACAAAAAAAAAAAAAAAAATAACAAAAAAAACCCAAACAAACAAAACAACCCGACAAAAGAAAGACGCAGCGCCTCCCCACGTGGCACTGGGGGGGGAGCGGGGACGCGGTGCAGCCCTACCTCTGCCCAATGCCTGAGATGGGAATGGCGCAAGGGATGGAGCCGTCTGCGCCCAACCTGCTCCCTGCATTGGATATTTTGGGGTTGAATGCAACGATTTCCAGGAGGGAAGGAGAAAAAGAAAGCAAGCAGCACCTCCCCCAGGAGGCGGACAAAGACGTGTGGGTGATTTTGTATATCTCGCAGCATTGTACAAAGCGCGGAGGACGGAGTGCAATACAGAAAGTGCGCGGCTCCGGGAGGAGGGACCCAGTGCTGCACCTTCACAGGAATGTAAATAGCGTCTGCAGAGGTCCAAAAAGCATCGTGACGACGGTGATGGTGATGAGAAGAGACATTTGCCAAATAAAGGATGGTGATCCGCACGGGAGGATGTGGCGTGTAGGAGCTTAGGCTGAACCGCGAAGCAGAAGTCATGTGCTCGATAGGAGCTTTAGTTTTCCGGATTTGCAAAAACCCATCCCGTGTGTTTTCCGTAGGCAGGGGAGGAGGAGGGGGGCAGGCTGCTCTGCTTGTGGTGCTGAGGGGCTGCCCTGGCCGTGCCGTGGCGTGCCGTGCCCTACCATGATGTGCCGTGGCGTGCCACTGCGTGCCGCGGGATCCCATGCCATAGTCATCGTGTGCTATGGTGTGCCGTGCCATGCTGTGCCATGCCATGCCATTCCATGGCGTGCCAAGCCATGCCGCTGTACATCATGCTGCAGGTGCCGTGCTGTGCCGTGCTGTGCCGCGGCACCGTGGTGCCCCGTGCCATACCGTGCCACAGCATGTGCCATCTCCCACCCCCAGCCCCACTGCCAGTCTGTGTGCACCCCAACACCCCGTGCCGGGGGCAGCGCCGGGGGCCCCTCGCGTGACTGTTCACTTTATTTATGGTGTGACATATGTAATATTGTCTATTTTTCTTACGTTTCCTGAGAAGAGGTAATATATAAGAGTCTTGCGGGTGCTCCCACTGGGGCCGCCTGCTCCCTGGGTGTCCGTCCCCCCCCGACCCCGTGTGCCCCCTCCCCACCCTGCGCCGGGGCTCTGCCTCTCTACCTCCGCCTCGCCGGGAAACAGCAGACGGGAGCACTTACAAGGAGTCTGCTCTCGTTTCCACTCCTTTTCTGATTTGCTTTTTTTTTTTTTTTTTT